AAATTTGTGTTTGCAAGGTGCAATTGCCACTAATTCGTTTTCACGAATGGTTTCCTGACAAATGCCACAAAAGGGGTCTAAGTCTTGTAAAGACTGCGCTAAGTTTTCGTTACTATGTTGCATAGCCATTATTATACTAATAAATACAAATTTCTGATTAAAAAAACCAATCAAAACTTTTGGTCCACCACTTACTAGATATCAAAACCATAGCCAAAAAAAAAAATAAGACAATCTAATCTACAAAAGTTTTCGTCTGCCTTATCTACTATTGCAATTAATGAATTCTATTGTTTACTTGCGATAAGACTGAACAGTGATGTTGGTCAGACCACCAAAGTATCTCTAGCGATCTGCAATTCCAGCCATCAAAACTCACATCAAATGCAAGCTTAGTTTAGATATTATACATTTTCAGCGTGAGAGTTCTCAAAGAACAGATTCGCTCTGGTCGACCAATCCGAAACCACCGAATTGCAATCGCAGTTCCAAGAGACGAGGCTCTGAGCTCCCAAACCACTACGCTGTAGACATATAAATCTACTGAACATTCAAAATTGTGAAACTATATTGGATGGAATATAAGAGCATTCAGCCTAGATGGCTTTCGGGTATCTATCTTTCGGGCATCATCTATCCGGACCGCCCACCTGTTGAGAACTGGTGTTGCTTTTGGGTGCCAGCGGTCATGCCAGCTGACAGGGATGAGCCCCACGTTGGGCGCCACTTGTGTAGTGTGGCGGGATGTCAATTTTTTAAGCAAGCCCCTAAATTTGGGAGCTACTGGTGAAGAGGGAGCGGGTGAACGAGTGTGCTCTACATTCTCTCACCGTGCTATGGAAGATTCGAGGCGTGCACTTCTTGCGTTGCTCTAACTTAGCTCGTCGGACGGGGTGGGGTTCTTTCTCCTCCTTACCATAGCGGACACACCACTACAAGAAAATAAGTGCACTAAACAGAAACTAGCAAAACGAACAAATGGAGTATTTGGATTTGTTCCCACAATCAGGACAGAAGCGGACAAACAGAGGGGTATTAGATGTAGTTATACTCTATTCTGTACCCACCCTACCTTGGCATACCGGAAATAAGAATAATGGTCGGTAGCCCCTATAGCAAATTGATGTTACTTTAAGTTTGGGTTTGGCGATGACATCTTAGTTAGTGATGGACCAGCGAAAGGAAATTTACGAATTCATATCAAAGTTAAAGGTATATATTATCATAATTTATAGTTCAAAAACATTCTCTTATATATATATAGGTATATATACTAAATAGTTTGCAACACATCAATATCTACCGTATGTAACATTCCAAAATAAGGCTCATATGTACATTATTCAAAAAAACATTACAGAAAATTCATTTAAATTTCAACATAAGAAGTGGAATCGAACGTAAATTGGAAATAAGATCAGATTGGAAAGTATGATGTCAAAAGATCAAATAAAAATGCAAATCACTTACCATGCACTGCCGTCGTTGAGCTCAAGAGGACTTGCTGGCACAAAAAAAAATATTAATGATCTTAAACTACATACATACTTCCTAACTTTAACTAGCAAAACGAACAAATGGAGTATTTGGATTTGTTCCCACAATCAGGACAGAAGCGGACAAACAGACTAATGTAGAGTACATTGCTTCTAGGGTATTAGATGTAGTTATACCCTATTCTGTACCCACCCTACCTTGGCATACCGGAAATAAGAATAATGGTCGGTAGTCCCTATAGCAAATTGATGTTACTTTAAGTTTGGGTTTGGCGATGACATCTTAGTTAGTGATGGACCAGCGAAAGGAAATTTACGAATTCATATCAAAGTTAAAGGTATATATTATCATAATTTATAGTTCAAAAACATTCTCTTATATATATATAGGTATATATACTAAATAGTTTGCAACACATCAATATCTACCGTATGTAACATTCCAAAATAAGGCTCATATGTACATAATTCAAAAAAACATTACAGAAAATTCATTTAAATTTCAACATAAGAAGTGGAATCGAACGTAAATTGGAAATAAGATCAGATTGGAAAGTATGATGTCAAAAGATCAAATAAAAATGCAAATCACTTACCATGCACTGCCGTCGTTGAGCTCAAGAGGACATGCTGGCACAAAAAAAATATTAATGATCTTAAACTACATACATACTTCCTAACTTTAACCTTGTAGTGAGGCGAAATTTAGGTTCGATTACAAAAAAAACTAAAGGAAGTTAAACTAAATCATTATTTAAAAATAAAAAAAACGAAACTAATTTTTATAGACGATATGATGCTTAGCATTAGATCCATTACAGCATCATGGTCGCCGCCAGTAACTTTTAGTGGCTTTTTGTGTCGCAGCACAAATTTAATAAGATTTATATGGCCACGTTTCTGCCTCAAAGGAAAACTAACATAGAGTAGTATGTATGGGCCTAACACATAGTGGGGAATCTAGCAGCTTGTCTTTGGAGTGGCAATGCGGAGTCCGTTCTTCGGAATCTGGTCGCATAAAGAGCTTGAAGTCGTCTATGAAAATAGTGCAGCCATCAAAGGAAACAAGCGTGGAGAGTTTCCGAGGCACTAATACTTGGTCCGGCAAAAAGGGTTTTCCAAGCACGATATTATTATGTCCGATTATAAACCAGCCAAAATGGGTTTCCAGGCACGAGACAGGTGCTCTGCCAAAAGGTTTCAAACCCAGCAAAAGGGTTTTAGTGGCCCAGCCAAAGGTTTTATGGCCCAGCCAAAGGTTTTGTGGCCCAGCCAGAGGTTTTATGGCCCAGCCAAAGGTTTTGTGGCCCAGCCAAAGGGGCACAGGCGCGAGGCACTGTGAATAAAAGAATTCACTTGACTTTTCTGGCCGACTTGAAAAAACTTCCCTTACCTGGCCAAAATTCACAAACTGCACAATACTGTTCTTCCGAATGCTCTGTTCCTCGGCTTAAATAAACAGAAACCACTTGCACTTAGGTGTTGCGTAACAAGAACATGCGCTTTAACTTTTTAAATATATGTGTATAGTATACACGCACAAAAGAAATATTCGTCAGCACTGCTCAAAAGTCGCTGTACTAATGTTCGATCGGCGCGCCGCTAGGTAGCGTGAAGCTGCACTTAGCCGAAGCCGAACTTACTAAATCAACAACAATGCTATGCATATGCGTGGGCGCAATAATAAGATAAGTAACAACGGCATAATCATACGATGCGACGGCTGCTTATCCAAGGTGACCTAAGAGCGCGATAACGTTTGCCAAAAATAAATGCAACAATTGTAAAAGCTTGCTAGACCACCAGCCCAGTAGGAAACTGGACACTACAATTTGTAAAATGCATATTTTAAAAATCGTTAAATGCAAAGTTGTAATTTTAGTTACGTAGATTATATTACCCAAATTTGAAATCGATCGGACAAAATTTATAACACAAACTTTTCATTTGAAAAAATGAATAAATATTAAAACCCCAATAATTCAAGCTCCAACACAAATTTCTAAAAACTGAGTACGCAGTTTTGTTTGTATTCTTTTATATATTTCTTTGTTTTGTACATGTGGCATTAGGGTTTGCATTAGAAACTTTATGAAGCAACAACAAATTACGAAGAACGCAAATATCAAATAGTTGGGGACATCATATACACACACTCACACACAGAACAAGCAACAGTTCGTGTCGATGTATGAAAAAGTAAAGAGAAACATGCATGCATATGTACATACATATGTATGTATGCCTGTGTACGTACATATGTAGCATGTATGTACATTCGTATGTATGTATGTATGTATACATTGGACAATCGAGCACTGTTGTTTGATTGTAATAAATAATGTTCTATGGTTTTAAATCAAATTTTTAAAACGAAAAACAACAACAACTGCAAGTCATTGGTTCGCGCTTCTTTTTTCGTTTTGATCATTTACGCCTGTTCATTGCAAAGGCAAAATGCCAAAAGTGTACAGTTACCCAGTTACAGTCGCTAGGTAACGACTGCGTTAGCGATAGTAAAGCAGAAACCGAAAGCGGACCTACGCATATTCTGCTTCGCGTTGCGGGCAGATGTACATATGTATGTTTGTATATGATTTGTTCTAATTGATCTCAATAAATTATAAGATGTTATTATTTAAATTTTCTGTTAATTGCATTCAAACTTCGATGGAATTATTGATTGTATCGACGGATTCAACTATCGATAGTTTTGATGCTCTAGCATATAGAGCATCCGACACATGCCCATCTCTAGCATCTCAGCTGATCGCATATTTACAGCGACTTACCGTTTTAGTGTTACCTAACAACGCTACAAATGTATTCTGAACAAATCTAAGAGTCAATTGTGAAGCCTATTTTGTGAGTGTATTCATGCGATTTACAAAAGCAGACACACACCTTTTACATTCACAACAATCATATTTGGAATTGAAGACACAAATTAGTGTTGAATTAAAAAATTTAATGCAAAATTTATATATGTATGTATGTATGTATATAGGCGGATGACGCCTGCATGGAAAATTTAAATTTATGTACATATCAGCGTTGCCAAACGCTCCAATTTTGGCGGGACGTCCCGATTTATAAATCAAAATTAAATGTCCCGCGTCGGACTTTTCGGGGATAACGCGACTGTGGAATTTTTTTGAGAGTATACAAACTAAGTTTGAAGTTAATCAGATGAAAATTGTAGATTTTTCATACAAACGTTGAAAGGATACACTATGAAGGGATACTTGAGTCAAAATTTTAGCTTCCTAGATTTTACCGTTTGGGCTGTACGTTGATCACCAATCAGTCAGTCAGGACAAACTGTTTTATATATATAGAGATATTGGACTAAAATGTGTTTGCTTCAACTCTTATAGTCTCTGAGATATAGATGATTATACGAACGGCATTTCCGAAAATCCTTGGGGAGGTGTATAATATAACATAAACCCTTCCATATTACGGGTGCAAGCTATAAAACTGAAAAATACAAATTAAACATACCTAATTGGAAGCTTTCCATCACTCTTCCGCTCGTACACTTTTGATGTTATGATGTCGCGTGCAAATCCAAAGTCTGCCACCTTGCAAACGTGATCGTCCATTATTAAAATATTGCGTGCTGCCAGGTCGCGATGAATAATCTACATAAAAAGACGTTTTAATTGTTTTTATTAATTGATATTTTAGTTTTATTTCAACTCTGTACCTGAACGGTAAAAGAGTAAAGGTATAAATTTAGTGCACAGTGAACAAAGCTGAAGTCTATAATACTCTGTACTACACCTACATAGGCATAGATATAATTATAAAAATTTAATAAATTAACAAAATAAGCAAATGTATGTGTAGAACAATTATTGAAATTTAGAATTATTAAGAAAATTTAGAAACAAAACGAGAAGCTAAAGTCGGATGTCCCGACTAAGAAATACTCTGTACATATTTGTAGAATAATTATCGAAATTTAAACAAGTAGAGAAGCTAAAGTCGGGTGTCCCGACTTTGAAACACTCCATCTATATTTGTAGAATACAAGGTGTGTTCCAAAGTAAACAGGACTTTTAAAAAACAAGTAAAAAAGCTAAAGTCGGGTATCCCGACTTTGAAATACTCTGTACATAAGCTTAGAATAATTATAGAAATTAAAAAAAGTAAGAGAATTACAAAAAATTTTCTTAATCGATTTTACCTCTCTTGGTATTCGAACTCACGTAAAGGGTGTATAATTGCACATATACAAAGCAATTGCGTCTATGTGAGTGTATGTATGTATATGCTCGTATATTCGTGTCTGCGCATGTTCGCAGTCAACCAAAGCACCAGCATCAACAACAGCGCTGCCCGCTGCAGCAGCAAAAATATATTTATGGTTATAACTTCTTGTTAAATCGGTCTATCATGATGGAACTTGGCATACGGACACATAATTGCTAACTGGGGGCATTTGCAAAATTTGAGTTCGAAATTCCAAGAATTCCGGGAGTAATTCGATTTGCATGAGAGAAGGGGGTGGGAGGGAAATTCCAAAATACACATTTTCTGCGTATTCACATAAGGCATCTGGGACTAAAATTTGGTATCCGTAGGTCTTATAGTCTCCGAGACATAAGCAATTATACGAATGGAACATCGGGAAAACCGCCATAGGGGGGAAGTGGGGGGAAAATCGAACAAAAAAAAAACGAACTTGCATAGCGTACACACATAAGGCATCTTTGTGCAAAATTTTGTGTCTCTAGCTCTTACATTCTCTGAGATCCAGGTGTTCATACGGACGGACATGACTGCAAACATGATTACACATACATGAATAGACGCGCATAGACATTGACAATTGCGTCACATAGACGCCATTGCTTTGTATATGTGCAATTATACACCTTTTACGTGAGTTCGAATACCGGTAAAATCGACCCAACTTTTATTTTTTAATTTTCTTAATTTCTACAATTATTGTAAACAAAGTCCCGACCCGACTTTAGCTTTTTTACTAATTATTTATTTAACACAACTGAATTTATACACTTCCACTTATATACAAGTATATCTATACTTATTAAACGGTACAAAATGAAATACATAATTGCGTCTGTGCGCAACTTCTTCAGGCAGGCTCTCAAAGATCACTTCTCGTCATATGAAAATATATATGAACTTATATAAATTATTGAAAACAAAGAAAAATGGGACGCTTGCTTTTAACTTTAACTTTAATATGGAAATTACGATAATATTTGGCGACGAATATGCTTCTATTTAGTACTAGCTTACAACTGACTTCAAATTCGGCTTACATGCTAAACTAAGCCTAAGGCGGCGAAAAGAGAGCGCGAGAGCGGCCGTTTGCGGACGTCGCCTCGCGCCCTTTTAAACTAAAATTCAAATAATTCTCTTAAACTATCTTAATCTAAAGCAGCATCTGACATCGTCCTTCAACGGGCAATGGCGCCAGCCGATGAATCGCCCTCCGTAGATTGCCACTACTCGTGACGACGTCGGCCACCCGCACCTTCCCGTCTGTCCCGGCGTGAGTCGTGGTGACCCTGCCAAGTACCCACTTTTGTGGCGGCACGTTGTCTTCGACCACCACGACGAGTTGTCCCACGACGACGTTGAGTTCCTCCTGGAACCACTTCGCTCGCACCTGGAGGCTCGAAATGTACTCCCGGGACCATCGCTGCCAAAATCTGTGCTTGAGACATGACATCGCCTTAAGCAGGTTTGGCTGTCGATGTCCGGGAGCGGTGGAGTTGGAGTCGCCAGAAGAGGCCGTCTGATTAGGAAGTGGCCCGGGGTTAGCGCCTCGCCGTTGCTGGGGTCCGCGCTGAGTGGTCCCAGTGGCCGTGAGTTCAGCACCGCCTCGACGCTCGCCAGGAGGGTTCCGAGCTCTTCTGCGGTCAGGAGCGCATTGCTCACCGTCCGTAGGAACAGGTGCTTTGCAGACTTGACACCTGCCTCCCATAGACTGCCGAAGTGAGGTGCTCTGGGTGGTATGTACGCAAACTCGCATCCTTTTCTTGATGCGAATTCGCGTACGCCTTCCGCCTCCTTCTCCCATCTCGCCCGGAACTCCTGCAGCTTCCTGTCGGCTCCCACGAAGTTCGTTGCGTTGTCGCAGTAAACTTTGCGAAGGACACCTCTCCTGCCGACAAACCTTTCAAAAGCCAAGAGAAAAGCATCAGTGGTTAGATCTGACACAAGCTCTAAGTGAACCGCTTTCGAGGCAAAACAAACGAAAAGAGCCACGTACGACTTGTACGGTGGCTTGCCACGGATGCGGAGCGTTGTGCTTATAGGGCCACAAAAATCAACACCACATACTTCGAACGGGTGGAAAGGCTGGAGCCTGTCTGCCGGAAGATTTCCCATTACTTGGGAGGCCAACCGGGGCTTCCATTTGAAGCAGAGGATGCACGAACGTACTGTTTGGGGACACACTTCCTGAGCGTTAACCAGCCAAACTCGCTCACGGAGCAGGCTCACCAGCGATCTAGGGCCAGCATGGCAATTTGACACATGCAAATAAGATACGTACGATCTTATGAATTGCGACTTTTTAGAAAGCAACAACGGAAACTTGGCTCCGTATGGGATAGAAGCATTTAATAATCTTCCCCCCACTCTCAGCAAGGAAAACAAGAAACCGTCTTCTCTAAACTCATGTAGAAATGGACTCAGACGCTGTAAGTTAGCGTTAAGTGTTCTCTTTTTTCGAACCTTGTCGATTTCGTCACCGAACTCATTGTCCTGGATTACTTGAACAATTTTGTTGAATACCAAATTGAGTTCGCTTGGCTTGGCTATAGGATCAAAGGGATCAAAATTCGAGACCTTTCTGCACCTTTGTATAAATCGAAAAACCCAAACGAACACCCTCAGCAATTTTGAATGTGACGAGTAGCTTTCGATAACTTCGAGAATGTAATTGGCTACTTTGGATTTTGAGGTCAAAAGTGACACTTTCCAACCATTCGCAGTCGAAACATAAATACAGGCGCCATAAGCTCGCATTGAGGCATCGGCGAACGCAAGTATTTGAATGGGTGACTGCGTATCTGTATGGACGAATCTAGGGACTTGAATACCGCTGAGGTTCAACAAATTCTGCTTAAATGAGTCCCAAACTGTATGAAGATTCTCAGGGATGGATTCGTCCCAATCTAGTTTTTGTAGCCATAAATCTTGCAGCAACATTTTTGCTTTGGTGATCAGCGGGCAAAGAAGGCCCAGAGGATCGAAAAGCCTGGCAGTCACCGATAATATGTTCCGTTTTGTCGAGCGGAGATCTAGGAAGGAATTTTCCAACTGGAACTGAAATACATCTTCCTTCGGCAACCACATAACGCCTAGCGTTTTGGTTGGGTCTGAGTCGACTGTGGCTACTGGAATAACTGTGCTATCAAATGCGGACAATTCAGAGCAGTTCGAAAACCACTTTGCCAATTCGAAGCCTGCACTTTGAAGAACGTGCGACACTTCTGCTCGAAGCTTTTTTAGCTGTTCAACGCTTTCAGCACCAGTTAACATATCGTCGACATTAAAGTCGCTCCGAATAACTTCAGCAGCTGTTGGATGTGAGGAACGGACCATTTCACTCAGTCTTGTTAAACACCGCACCGCCAAGAACGGAGCTGACGACGTGCCATATGTTACAGTGTTTAACCTGAAGATTTTTAAAGACTCAGACGGATCTCTTCGCCACACTATGAGCTGATAGTTTCTATCTGCTTCGTGCACCATCACCTGACAGTACATTTTTTTAATGTCTGCCGCTAAGGCGAACTTTCGCAAACGAAAACGAAGCAGCGTAGAATAAAGCTCCTCCTGAATTGTTGGACCGACCATTAAGTTATCATTCAACGCAATCTGAGTGGACGTGCAGCAAGAGGCATCGAAAACGACACGCAACTTGGTCGACGTGCTTTGAGGCCGCAGGACACACTGATGCGGAATAAAATAGTGTGGAGTATCTGGAATTTTGTTGTCCGTTGAGGACATGTGACCGAGCGAAACATACTCGTACATAAATTCCGGATACATGCTTTTCATTTGAGGGTCTTTTGACAACCTCCTTTCAAGCGACAAAAAACGACGTTTCGCAATTTCATACGATGAGCCAAGACTTTTTGGGTCAGATTTAAAAGGTAACCGTACCTGAAATCGACCAGACGACAAGATTTTTGTATTATCAACAAAGTGTTGTTCACAAAGCTGTTGCACAGGTGAGAGAACTTTCGAATTATTAGGCAAGTCCTCAATGGACCAAAACTTTTGTAACGTTGAGTCTATCGAAAGTAATTGTTCTTCTTGGCAACTTAAATTCACTGTTCCTTCTATACTCGTTGTAGGTTGAGTAGAGCATCTGCCTGACACTATCCAGCCGAGAAGCGTTTTTTGTAATGTGGGAGACTCAGGGCCTTGCTTTATTTGTCCTACCGACAATAAGTCGAAGAATGACTCTGCTCCAATTAGCATATCAATTTTTTGCGGTTTATGGAATTGATCGGCCAATTGAATATTTTTGGTGGTGTTCACCGCTTGATCGGGATGATAACCAGAAATCGATCCCAAGATCCAATAATCTGCGGAAAACTCGCTACAATTGACACGCGACTTCACCACTGTATGAATTCTTTTCATG